GGGTATACACATTGACGCACAATGTAAAAAAAATCTCAAAAAATATTGCATTACTAAGAAGAGCCAAGTCCTTTGTTCCTTTACACATTCTATTCAAAATGTATAATGCTGTAGTATCTCCTCACCTGACATATTGCTCAACGATATGGAATGATGGATCTAATTCCATTCTTAACAAACTCTCTAAGTTACAAAGAAGAGCAGCTCGGGTTATCACAGGACAATCATACGATGTTCGTTCCACTCAAATACTAGAAAGTCTCAATTGGATGCCAATTGAAGACATTTTAAAGAAAAGAGAAATCATTACGACGTTTAAAGCTTTAACTAACAGACTACCTGATTATGTGCAGAATTTCTTCACGAGATGCGAAAATAGTAATTATTCTCTAAGAAGCAATAATGTTAAACTATCTTTGCCTAAACCAAGAACTAACGTTCTTAAAAGAAGTTTCTCTTATAGAGCAGCACAAGGGTGGAACGAATTATCGGATGAAGTAACTAATAACATTCAGGATTTATCTTTACCCGATTTCAAACGGCGTTTAACCCTTAAGCTTGCACATGAATAATGTATAATGCATTTCCGAAATTAATGGAGCACGTAATAATTATGGCTGTAATTAACTGTAAATATCCATAGTTAATGTGTGTTTAATACTATATAGCACGGCCCTTTGAAAAACAGACTGTATATATATATTATACTGAAAAGGCTACCGCGTTAAAAAGAAATTTTATTAAAGATTAAAGATTAATCAGATTGCAGAACAGCTCATATACGGTGAATGACTATATTATATATATATATATATATATATATATATATATATATATATATATATATATATATATATATATATATATATATATATATATATATATATAAAGCTTTTTCCCAAATAAAATATTTTTGGGTATCTGGGCGCTGTAAAAACTTACTATACTATAACACAGACTTCTAAAGAAACACAACGTTATTAGACAATGCGTATTTGGCAATCGGTCCCAACGATCTGATTGGTTTTGAGCAACAAGTACACAAGTTTGTAAAAAAAACTCCTCTTAATACATGATAGGATAGTTTCTTGTCAAGTCTGGATAAAACAAAAAACCTCATAAAGCTCTTGTCGCGTCCTTTGGACTCACGCTGTTTTGGTCCTCTTTGAAAAACTCACTCCTGCATGTTTCTATTCAAATTCATGGGCGTACCGGGCGGGGGGGGGGGCAGTCCGATACGCCAATTCGAACAATATTGCTCATTTTTAGACTTCGTACGTGGTGTTTCACGTGCGTTTTCCCTGCCGGAACTAAATATGGGACAGTTTATCTGGAAAAACGCACGCGAAACGCGACGAACGAAGTGAATTAAAATTAAGCCGGTTTTCCACTTCGCCCATATCGTAGCGAAACGTACTGGTGAGCATGCGCAGATTGAAAAGAGGTTTATAAATCCACGTACTTCCGGGTGTACACATTCGCGTATCAAAATAAAAAGTTCGTCGCAAGTCAACCTTTTGGCGTAACTAATCAATATTCACGAAATTTTGAAATTTAAAAACGTTTTTGATTCGTTTCTGTACGTAAGGTTGAAGTGGAAAACAGGCTTTAGTCTGAGTGTCAGAATTAAAATGAGCGAATCGCTTGTCCATGACATTTTACATTTTTACTTTAGTTTGATTGTTGAGTTTAAAGAATTATTATTAAATTATCCAGTTTGAAATCTGAACGTCCACTTTCAAAAGCAGCAAAACATAACTGATTACAACAGTAATGCCATACGTAAAACTGCGTACTCTCGGATTAATTATACATGATAGGTCACTTCCGCCTCCTCTTGAGATATGTGAAATCAGATTTGAGGTAAACAATGAGCAACACGATTTTCAAGTTTCAATTAATATTATTGCGACAATGCTTATTTTCTGGCTTTGTACGAAGATATTTAGCAACAACAGGCATTCGTTCAAGATTATGAACTTATGTGCACACTTTTCCATCTTAATGGCGTGTAATAAAGTACGAAACAAACTTCAATTTTATATTTTGAAGACACAGTATTAAATGTACATAATTTGTACTAATTGATATATTTGTATGGTAAGCCAAAAACTATCAAATACTTAATAGTATATATAAAATACATATTTAAACAATACTATAATTAATACCATTTATAATATAGCATTTGTAAATTATGAACGCTGATTGGCTAAGAGCCGTGTTGATATAACTCCATGTCAACACGGGAAATTTTCCGCCGCTTGTAACACGGAAATTCTTCTTATTCTTCGGGCTTTTGACATTGCTATATTATAAAACAAATATAAAACATTTTTCCGTATTGATATATAGTTATATCAACACTCGTGGAAGTTGGGAAAACTCAAAATTGTGTGAAAACACTCCGCCCTTCGGGCGTCGTGTTTCCACACAATTTCTCGTTTTCCCAATTTCCACTCGTGTTGATATAACTGTATATCAACACGGAAAATGTTTTATATTTGTTAAATAATAATTAATAGCACATCAGCGTTTATCATCATCACAATCCATTGGTTTCATGTATAAAGTCAGTGTCAATTTCATCTATCTCACTGTTCTCACAATTGCTGCACTTGCAAAATTTAGTGCACTTTAAATTTGCTTTAAAACATGAGCATTTTGTTTGACAACCCTTTTTGCATTTGTAGCTATCAAATTCTAAGATTCTGTGGGGAGCAGGGCCTTGGGTCCCCCATATAATTTTCGTCAAGCTACAATCACATCCGAAATCCTACAGGTGATGCATGGTGTATCTACAATGAGAATGGTGGCAATCTTATGTAAATATACTTTCAAAGTTGAGTCCTAAAATGTGTTAGGAGGGAGCGAGTCCTCTGTGCACTTCCCAAGTTTAAATATCCTGTAACAGGCATTATTGATCGATGTTGTATTTTCCTGCACGTGAAGACAGCAAACTTTTCACTCCAGGAGAGTAGTGACACATTCGGGAAGGCATAAATCATCTCCAAGTGTCTCGAATGCATATTTGAAGAATTTGTGTTGCTTAATCTTGATACTTTAAGTGCTGTTATCTTGCCTTCACTGCAATGTTGAGATATTCTAACTAAATGCAATATGCATGCCTTATTTAAACATGTTCAGTATGACAGAAGAGGTTTGTGACTTGCCTTTGCTAATGGGCAGAAGAGCAATTATGTGTTAGGTGGCAGTTATATGTGATCTTATACGTACAGTATAACCGCAGCTGCTGTATGCTAGTGAAAACTTATAATTTAAGTAGATAAACCCATCTAATTTATGACAAAATTTTATTAAGATTCCAAATGTTTGTCGAAGGCGAGTAACTCTTCCTAAAGTTTGCTGCGCCTCAATTTAACAATGCATTGTCTTTATTAAATCGCTCCTTTTAAAAAATAACAGTGAATCTTTAAAAAGTCTAACTATAACAAAACAAAATAACGTATCCGTCACCAAGTCCTCTCAAACCGCTGGCTCAGGATCTCCTGGGCGTCTTTTTGTTCACTCCTCAATGATGGCGGAGCCAGAAATTGTTGTAGCGTCTGAAATTGAAGACAATCCTTCACATCCCGAAGCATCCAACCACGAAAGTCAAATTGAAGGTATGCATCGTAATCCCGATCAACTCGTTCAGGCTATTGTGGCCGATCGAGGCTTTATTTCCTTGTTATCCTCGGCAATATTGTCGAATATCGGCCCATAGTTGAATAAAAGTCAAGATAAATAGGTCAGTTTCAAGCCCAATACAAACTGTAAATCCCGGAGTATCGGACGATCAAACGGGTATGTTAAGCAATCAGATAAATCCCGGAGTATCTGACGATCAAACGAGTTCTGTAAGTGTTAAACGGGCCGCAGAAGTTTCTGCCGCGAAGCCATCATTCCGTCAAAGCGACCTCGTGGTCCTGATACATTTGACGAAAGCGCAGCGGAAAATGATGTTGAAACTGTCGTGATTGACGACGAATTTACTTCCCCTAACTCCCGTTGGGAGGCTAGTGACGAACTGAGTACATTTCTCGGTACTACTAACAAGCGAATAAACAAATGTGATAGTAAGACCTTGGTGACATACACGCGACCAGACGTCGGCGAGGTTTACACGTCTGCCATGAATGACTTCTTGAAGCCATTTATTCAAGGCATTATGGCTCCTGATAAAAAAAGCCTAAGCGCTTTTGGTCCTTGTTCAAATACACATCTAAAAATCTAGCCTGCCACAACGTATGGCATTGAAAAGTTCCGACAACGATAACACGTTGATTGCCGCTGACGTTCCTAACTCGATTGCTGATCTGTTTAATACGTTTGTTGCTTCTGTATTTCACCAAGGCCAAGCACACCCTGCAAACGAAAACACAATCACTGATGAAAACTGCCTAATTGATATTGAACTCACCGTAGATAATATTCTCCCTTTACTACATTCGTTAAATGAACATTAAGCTACCGGATCTGATGGTATTTCTAACAAGATATTGAAAGAAACTGCCGAACAAGTTGCCCCATCGCTATACCTACTGTTCAATCTCTCTCTACGATCTGGTTCCCTTCCTGACGACTGGAAGATTAGCAACATTGTACCAGTGTTCAAAAAGGGGAAGCGTGATCATGTCTCAAACTTTATTATTATTATATTATTATTATTATTATTAACTTTTTGCCCACAAAATATATACAAGTAGTAAAAAAAAATAATTACAGTAGCTAGTATAATGTGCTAGGGACCTTTGGAAATCCTGTTGGACTTTTATAGTAAGGCCCCTAGTTTTAGTATTCTAGTGATAAAAGACTATGAAAGAAGAAATTATATACAAGCAGAAACTATTTACAACAAAATTGAAAGATGAAAATATACTAAAAAATAAAATAGTACATTACTATCATTAGTGTTCCTAAGGCTATTGCTCAGGTTTTTATAATTTATTTACATTAATTAGATAATAAGTAAAATCCGTAAATTAAGCGAGATATTGTTTTTAGCAGGCAGTAGTTCGTGTAATTTGTGTGCATCATCGTTCATAATATTTAGGAAGACTTTGTTAGTAATCTGTTGGCGCCGTAGGAATAGGGAAGTTAGACCTGATAATAATAAGGCATCTTCGTAAGATTCTGTTTGGTAGATGATTCGCATTGCTCGTCTTTGTATAGTTTCGAGATCACTCGAAAGATACGTTGGGAGGCCATCGTGATACACTGGGCAAGCATATTCAATTAAAGATCTGATGCAGGATTTAAAAAAATGTACCAATTCCAAACAACCAACTTTGGCCCGCTTTAACTGAGTTAGGAAGTACAAACTTTTTGAAGATTTTTTAACGAGTTCGCTAACATGATAATTCCATTTTAAGTTGTCGAATACATTCAGGCCCAGAATTTTGGCATGTGGGACAACTTCAAGGGGGGCGTTATTTATCATAACGGGTGGAAAGACTTTTTCCGATTTCGTAAAACTAATTCTCATTCCTTTACATTTGCGTTCATTCAGCACAAACTTTTCGGTTTTGGACTTGCGTACGAACTCATCTATACGGTTGATTGGATATGACTTACTTCGTCTTTTTTAACAGTTTCGGAGATGATGTTTGAGTCGTCCACATATTTCCACATCACATCGTTAGAGACATGTAAATCGTTAATCATAACTAAAAACAGCCATGGGCCCAATTTTGTTCCTTGCGGTACACCCGCGGGGACCGAACCCCACTCCGAGGCACAATCTTGGCAGAGTTTAACTCTTTAATTGTTTACGGTTCAACAAGAAATCTATTATCCAATTGACAACATTATTTGGAATTTCGTACGACACTAGTTTCTGAATTAAAATATCATGATCGATCAGATCGAAGGCCTTTTTGAAATCGAACAATACAATCCTCACTGTTGCACTATTACCATCGGTGTCACAGTTCCATTTATGTAGCATGCTAATAAGAGCATAGGTGGTATTCAAGCCAGGTAATGTACCGAACTGTTGTGGGTCAACTTTTTTCAATGCAGCTGGTTTTACAAAACACTCAACTACGTATTCCTCAGCGACCTTAGAGAGTACTGGAGTCAGAGAGATTGGTCTTAGATCTTTATTTGCGTCATTGACAGGTTTTTGCTTAGGTATTGGTACTATATCGGCTTCCTTCCATGAAGGAGGTAAGCGAAACTCCAAGAATGAACAGTTAATAATCGACATTACTGGTCTTGCAAAAATATCGGCGTTCTCTTTCAAAAGCCAGCAGGGAATACCATCTGGCCCAGTTGCTTTGGTTGAATTTAGTGCTAACAATTTCTCAAAAACTGATTGCTCTGCGACGGTAAATGGGGGTTCATTATCGGTGGCAAGACGGACGTTGGGAGATAATGGAGAAAAGTCACTCATTGAGGCAAGGAATGCGTTGTTAATAACATTGGCAATATTAACTGGAGTCGGTTCGACTGGGTCACAAACAACATGTTCTAGAATTGAAACTGTACTGTCACGTGACACTGCAGACATCCCACTAAGTTTCTTAAATTCCTTCCACCAACCTGAAGGGTCACATTCTTTCAATTGTTTAACTCTTGAATCGTAATATTTTGCACGGCTTGACTTCCTCTCTCGATTAACTTGGTTCCTAAATAATCGGAATATATATATATATATATATATAGTTTTTCGTTTTACCTCAAAAAACCACAACAGTCTGTTTCATCCGTATAGGAATCATCAGGTGGTGAATAATTTCGAAATTGTAAGTTGCTTTTATGCTATCGAAAGAATGTGCGGAATGCATGTAGGCGAAACAATCCTTAGGTGAAACAATGCATGCTTGGGTCATTAGGTTTTGTTAACGACCTTGTTTACTCGAAACCGGTTTTTGTGACGACATTTGCCGAAAATTTCGCTTCTTTTATTGAGTAAATTATCTTTGTTTATGTCTTTCAAAATGCAAAATTTTTCTTCCAAACATAAATTGCAGTAATAATGAAAGAAATGTTCATATTAAAATTAATGACAGAGTAGAAAAAGATCAAAGAATAGTGCTGAGGAATTTGCTGAGTATTTCTCCACTATGGTTAAAGCAGATTCGGCTGAAGAAAAAGATTTCCACGATCATCCCAGCGTGAAGGCTATACGAAAAGCCAACAAAAACCGCGCATTGTTTCAGTTCAGACTAATGACTGTTGGAGAAGTGACAAAAGAGTTGACAAATTTGATCCAACCGAGTAATCGACACTATAAGCGAAGTAATCGACATGTTATTCTGCAGGCCTTCGTCTCAAATTTCAGGAGGAGGTAATGGGTGGGATATGCTTCCGTCTAAAGTACTTACGTTGTCTTCTAAAACGGTTGCTCCGTCCATTACCAAACTCTACAATAATTGTATTGAGCAAAGTACATGGCCCACAAAGTGGAAAAAAGGAGAATGGATTACAGTATTTAAAAGAGATAACAGACTCGAACGCACAAACTATAGACCAATCACTGTTCTACCAGTAATAGGTAAAGTGTTTGAATCCCTTCTCAGCAAACAAATGACAGAAAGTTATAACCCCTATATATCAAAACAGTAAATTGACCGCTTACAAAAAGACACATAGTTGCGAAAAAAAAACACTGATTGGAGACAAGCTGCAGATAGGAAGGAAAATGTCGTGGTACTCTCCACAGACATGAGTAAGACCTTTGATTCCTTACACCAATCCATGATGATAAAAAAGCTCTAAGCATATGGATTTTGTCAAGCGTCGCTTCAACTAACGCGATCCTTCTTCTTCGAACGATTCAACAGAGTGAAATTGAATGGAAAGATAAGCACCTGGAAACATGTTAAAATGGGATATCCTCAGGGATCATCTTTTGGACCCCTTTTGTGAAACCTTTTTCAGAATGATCTATCCTATGAAGTTAATGATGATGCCCTCTATATATATATGCAGATGATCACCACCAGATATACAATGTGGGGAAACAGTTACAAAACGTACAAAACCATCTAGTGAAAGAGGATAGGTCTCTTCATGGTACAAAGAATTTTGCTTCAAACCAACACAAAGAAGTACCAAATACTCACAATTATCCCAAAGCGACAGGCACACAACGACAATGACATAATATCTATAAACATGGTTCTCAAACTGGACGTGATTCTACAATAGTTTTCAGTTCACTGGAGAATTTTAATAATACTTTTAGGTATATGACATAAAACTAATTTAGATAACATGCATCAAGGGTTGGATCCTAAGGCACTACCATGGGAGCACTCTAAGGGGGATTCATCCTCCCCTAGTCTCCCTCGCAGTCGCTTTTTGTGTCAAGATTTCTCCCACGAGCGGCTTGCTCACTCGAGCACAATAATCCTTTCTGAAAGCAACCAATCACAGTAATGCTTCTCAATTTTAGAACATGACCTTAGACAAGATATTTATGAATTACTAAACATTAAGATATCTAACGTAAGACAAAGGAGATGGAATGCTGTGCTTGAGTGAGAAGCCGCTCGAGAGGAGAAATCTCAACACAAATATAGTGTCTCTAAAGGAGTGTCTCTAAAATCAGGTGCCCCAGATTAGCTAAAATGCATTTGCCATGCAACATTTCTTACATCACTCTATAGCTATACATTTAATATACACTATCACACTATGAATGAAGATAGATGCACTTATAATTGCATTTTTTAGCACATTCCTACAGAACTGGTAACATTCTTTCTATTGGCTACAATTTCTCTACGAATTTCTCCTTTCATCTAAATTTTTACAATATATATATATATTTTTTATTCTTTCATGCGGAAATATCTGCTCCGGACAGCATCTGCTCCGGATAGCTGCAAATGGAAAAAAGGGTTGTCAAACAAAAAGATGCTCATGTTTTAAGGCAAATTTGAAGTGCACTGAACTTGGCAAATGCACTAACACTTTATTAAATATGCTCTTGGAATTTTATACAAAAATCTATACAAGCAATGGTGAGAACAGTGAGATAGATCTAATTAACAATGGCTTTGATGAAGGCATTGAATTGTGATGATGAAAGCTAATCGCCGTGCGAGGGTACTAATTCCTCCCGGCTATTTACATCCGGGGAAACGAAAGCATTAGCGAAGTCTAAAGTTCATCAAATATCGCGGGCGTGGCTCACCAACGATGTTTCGGTGGGTGGTCATCCTCACTGATCTCAAAAATTGGCGGACTGTCAATGACACTGATTGGTCCAATTTAAAGTTTGCATTATAACGACTGCATGACGACAGCGAAATAGCAAACATTTCTTGATTTGATGATTGGTAAATTTCTTGCAAATAGATTTCATTTTTGCTCGCATTTTGGCAAGATTTTGTAAATTTCAAAAGCTCTCTCAGAAAGAAACTGCGAAAGAATCGGCTAAAAGAAGGGAGCCGACGTTAACGAAGGTAAGTTTGTTTTAAATATTTGATTTTATAATGGCTTTAAAACCCGACGGCCTTTGCGTATGAAATAGCTAACAAGACAGCATATAATTTCATTGTATGTTTAATATTGATTCCCTTTTTTATGATATCCAATTTTTTAAGTAAAACAGAAAGCAAAGTTATTTGCAAGCGAAAATTTGAAATCATTTTATTGCAAACTCAAAGTTTATCGATAAAGCCATTTTAAAAGGCGGATTAGTTTTAATATAAAGAACACTAGTTACTTTAAAACGATTTGCGAAGCGTTTGTGGTTGAATTTTACCTTAAATTGAGGCTTATATTACGTATAATAACATACGTAACATATATATGTTGGGAAATTAATAATTTTGTAATTAAAAGTGATATTTTCAGGCGATTTTTCATTTGTAAGAATATTGAATATTCTTAAAAAATTATCGTGTTACCATGACAACTACTTTAGATACTTCATGTTCCGAAAATACAATGGTTTTGTCAGCAAGGCGAGGGTTTCTGCATGCATGTATTTTCTACTATTCTATTAATTACTATATGGTATGAATTATAGTATTGTTTAAATATGTATTTTATACATTTACTATATTAAGTACTTCATAGTTTTTGGCTTACCATACAAATATATCAATTACTACAAATTATGTCCATTACTTTGTCTTCAAAATAAAAAATTGAAATTTGTTTCGTCCTTTATTACCATAGATATCTTATATACACTAGATAGCGCATCTGTTTTAGTAAAATTGAAGCCAAGAATATTCCAGCGGTTACCCCCATTTTAATAAATGGCGGCCATGTCGGAGTTTCCCATTCGCTAATAAACGCTTAAAAAACAACAATACCTTTCATCATTTGAATGGTTAGAAAATGTATTTGGAATAGGTTTAACTTGATGTTTAAATTCCCTGTTTAAGAAATAGAAAGTCTGCAATCACGGCTTCAATTTTTGAATTGCAGAATAATTAGATGCACTATCTAGTGTATATAAGATAGCTATGTTTATTACACGCCATAAAGATGAAAAAGTGTGCACATAAGTTCGTAATCTTGAAAGAATGGTGTTGCTAAATATCTTCGTACAAAGCCAGAAAATACGCTTTGTCGCAATAATAAATGAAACTTGAAAATCGTGTAGCTCATTCTTTACCTCAAATCTGATTTCACATATCTCAAGAGGAGGCGGAAGTGACCTATCCTGTATAATTTTCACTATGGCGCGCGAGTACTAGTTCCGAGAGTATACGCATTTTGACGTATGGCAAATATTAAAAGTGTAATCGCAAAACTCGTAAATTTTAAGATTTTGATCGCAATTTACAACAAACTGCAGGGTGAAGCCTCAAGAACTTTTTAGATTTGGATTCGGCGTCATTTAACCTGTAAGAATATGTAATTTTCTTTTAGTTTAGCGAGGTGTGCAACTAAACATTTTAGGGCACTAGACGGCGACCTAAGCCGCCTAATAGTCTCATTTTAAATTTTCACAATGTTCTGACCTTTGCAGCCTGTCAAAAGGCTAGAACAGTTGCCAATGTCAATTAAATCTACATACATTGCGTATTTTGTGAGGAAATTCAGACGGCCATTGACTCTTTCCTGGAACAAAATCATATCGTTTGCCATTTTTGTTTTCTTGCACTATAAACCTGCTAACAGTCAAAACCTTACAGGAATCTTCGATATATTACCCCCAATGATGAATTTAAATTCTATTAGTAATAATGTAATTATATCAATTCTGTTTCGCAGTCTCCAAGAAAGACAAGACGCAGCTGAAATATATTATTGAAGAACTTTCTAGTCCGATGGGGAAAAGTAACTGCTATCCGGGAAAAACCGCGACGAAATATAGCCATTCAGTAAGTATGTGCTGTTTGCTTCTTGTTCTGAAATGAAAAACGATGACATTTTAATACAATGATTTCATGGAGAGATTTTCAGCACACTGCAGTGATCTACAAATTAGGAGTAGATTATTATTATGTTCTAATAACCAACTTGTACAACTTGGTCGAAATCCCTATAATAGGGATCATGTTTTACAAGTTTTGGTAACCGTATACTGCGTTTAAACGTCATAATCAGCTTGAATTACTCCTCATTCAACGTTCTTCATTCAACTGAAGAACTTTCTAGCCTGACCAATAATAGTAACTGCTATCCGGGAAAATACCCGATTGGAAAAAGGCATTCAGTAAGTATGCGCTGTTTACTTCCTCTCCTGAAATGAAAAAAAAAACGATGACGTTTTTAGTACAATAGTTTCATGGAGAGCTTTTCAGCACACTTATTTCACTGTAGTGTTCTAAAAATAGTAGATTATTATTGTTTTATTATGTTCTGATTAACCAACTTGTACAAGTGAGTACAACTTGGCCGAAATCCCTATAATATAGGGATCATGTTTAACAATTTCTGGTATAGTAACCGTATACTGCACATACAGTAAACGTCTTAATCAGCTTGGATTACTCCTGAGACAAGTAACGTTCTGGAGGATGGAGATTCGAGCTCTCTCAGAGAACAGTATTCATTTACATACCACCATTCGTTTTTTCGTTCGAATTGTTCACTTATATCATTATTCAATTGGTCGATTTTTCCTCCTTGACTTACGACTATTACAGCAAAGATCTTCACTTGGTATTCTCGTCTTCGTTCACGAATTTCGAATGCCACTTCGGGAAACTTCCAGCCACCCTTGTGCGTCCAATCCAGGACTCACTTCCCTGCAACTATGCTTGTAATAAAACCTTCAAGTGGGGCCAACTGACAGTCGCTAGACCAGTACTCCCCTCCCCCCACTTTTCTCCAACACTTTGCTACTCTTGGAAAGGTATGGACGTTTTCTAAAATTACCCATTTTGCAAAATAAACACAAATTTCATTTTTCGAGAACATGACTAGGGAATTTCAGACGATAGCAAGGATAGCTTAAATTAGTCGACAAGGTGCTGGCCGGATACTGGTTAGGGAGAAATTATGCCGGATACTGCATACTATGGATAATATAATGCTGGTATTTGGACAATACTTCACTATTTTTCCCAAAAGATGTAGTCTATTGTTTTAGACTAATGTGTCCTTTATCTCTTTATATATTAACAAAAATTAAAATCTATGGCAAAGTGGTTGTCATGAGGTACAGTAATTTATTGCACATGCAGAGAAGTTTACAGTTCACAAAACTGTCCGTGACAAATTAGTGCCCTCCGGCCCGGGCTATCGCCCGGTGACGTACCGTTGTCTCGGGAATTTAGCCCGCTCTCGTTATTGAGGTAGGATCTGGCTAATAATACACGATATATCATCTAATACGGTTGGAAATTTCACATGCAGATGCAACAGATAGGGCTCACCATTCCACGTGATATTCAAATATTAACATCTAGAGCAATATATATCGAACTGTTTAATGGTTATTTTTCAGCAAAATGTTCATGATTTTAGACTCTGTAAGGTAATGATTGAGTTGCAGGATTGCCATTTAGTGCTGCTAGCGGCAAGGAAGAGAGCTGAACTTTGGCATGTATAAACACTGCATGGTAGAGCCAGACCTCATGTAAACACCAATGTCATTTTATTATTTATTTAAAAGTAAAATAAAAAAGGTTTCCCTGATGGTGAGGTATAGAATTTAGTACTTTTAAGGTGGCAAAATCTGGGGGTGCGGCGCGGGGGTGCGGCGCGGGGGTGCGGCGCGGGGATGGGGCGCTTTAAGAACAGATAATAAAACAATTAAGAAAAACATACGTTCCTTCCCCATGTCGGCACGTGCAGCTTTTGGAAGATGGTGCTGCTCACGTGAGTGGTTCTCTGATGCCAAAAGCAAAAACTCTGCGACCGCTCTAGCGTCTTCCTTTACCAACGAGTTAAATTCTGCTGTTGATAGGTTATTCCCGTTTAAGGTTATTAGAATTCATAACTCTGACAAACCATGGATGACGCCTGCATTAAAAAACTGATTTATCAAAGCCAAAAAGCCTTTCATTCTGGTAACCTTGACCTCTGGCGTCACTATAGACTTAAAGTCCGAAACGACATAGGAGTGAAAAAGCGTGCATATTATACGAACAAGGTACAACACCTAAAATCCAGTGACTCCAGAAAATGGTGGGACTGTGTTAACCAGATGTCCGGGAAAAAAAGATCTGCAACCAATAACATTAAGATCGTTAAGAATGGTACCACTCTATCTGGTAAAGATCTCGCCCAATCACTTAACACCTATTTCTTAAGCGTGAGTAATGACCTACCACCACTGAATCCTCTCCTGCTACCTGCCTTTCTCCCTGCACCAAGGCCTGTACCAAAAATTTTCCCTGACGAAGTTTGCACTAAGATGCTCAATACAAAAGTTTTCAAATCCAGCGGTCCTGACAATATTCCTAACCGGATTATTAAGGATTTCGCGTACGAATTGGCCGAACCTGTATGTCACATCTTTAATACATCTCTGTCCACTGGTGAATTCCCTAACATATGGAAAGATGCATTAATTACACCAATTCCTAAAGCGCCATCCGTATCCTGTGAGGAGGAGTTGCGCCCAATCTCCCTTACAGCCTCTTTGTCCAAAATTCTTGAGGACTTTGTGGTCAATTGGATGGTGGATGACGTGAAACATAAAATCAACCCGCAACAATTTGGTTGCCTTAAAGGAACCTCTACAACGTTTTGCTTGATCGATATGATCAACAATTGGCTGAGAACATTGGATGATAAATCGAGCTATCTGCGGATCGTTTTCCTCGATTTCAGTAAAGCGTTCGACCGCATCGACCATAATATCCTGGTCCCAAAGTTGCTGGCCCTTGGCGTCAGATTGTCGCTTATTCCATGGATATGCAGCTTTCTCTCAAATCGCCGTCAATCGGTAAAGATCGACAATTTCCAATCTGATTGGGGCATCAATAACGCAGGTGTCCCTCAAGGAACCAAATTGGGCCCTATTTTGTTCATAATTATGATCAACGATCTTGAACTGGCATCCTCTAGCACTGACCATTGGAAATACGTGGATGACGTAACAATATCGGAGTCCTTAAAGAAAAATGAAGTTTCAGTCCTACAATCTGATCTTAACACAATTGAAAGATGGACTGTTAATAACAACATGAAATTGAACGGAAAGAAATGCAAAGAAATGATAGTGAGTTTCGTCCGTAGCGAGAATGACATCCCCCGACTCCTCATTGATGGTTTACCTCTAGACTTAGTTCCTTCTTTCAAAATTTTGGGCTTAACCATGAACAATAAATTGAAATGGCAAGATAACACTGAAGCGTTAGTTAAAAAGCCTCAAAACGCTTATACATTATTCGTGTCCTACAGCGCTGTGGTCTTCCCCCCAATGACCTCTTATTAGTCTACTTTTCTATGGTGCGCTCTATCTTAGAATATGCCTGTCCTGTCTGGCACACCATGTTACCAAAGTGTTTGGGGGATAAAATTGAAAAAGTTCAAAAAAGAGCTTTCCGTATTATTTATCCGACAACAGATTACGAAGATGCTCTCAACATCGCTAAATGCAAGCGCCTTGTCGACAGACGTCAAGAGCTATGTGCTAAAACATTCAAAAAGATCTTAAAACCCGATGCTCACCTCAACCACCTCTTACCCCCACTCCGTGAAGAATCGCATGAACTGGACTTAAGAAACAATTCTAACTTCACATTAACTAAATGCAGAACGGAACGTTTTAAAACTAGTTTTATACCAGCAATGACTGCTAATTTTAATAGTAAATAATTTGTAGTATTTTAACAACTGTACATATACGATATATTTATATTTATATTATTTGATATTCATCTTTTATTATGTTTCTGTAAGCATATTGCAATTCACCTTCGGGTGCCAAAATGTGTTTCTTAATAAACCTTTAATAATAATAATTGTCCAACTGTATGTTTTCTCAATTTCCTAGATATACCAGTGAAAGTCGAAATAAAGTCAACAAATATCGTGTGTATTCCTCAGTTAAAGCGTGGTGCTCAACAACTTTCTGCGGATGAAAACTCTGACTTGGAAAAACAAGTAAGATTCTTGCATGTATATGTCCTGCTTCATACTCCTGGGATAATTCATCATTTTTCATACTGGAATCTTTGAGATTGTTTATATTGAGATTATTTCACATGAATCTACAATCCTGCATGGACAAAAATATTATAGAACTCCCCTTGGTCAATAATTCAACTTCAGCTGTGCAGGGGCTGGATTTATAGATACACGTGTTGAAGTAAATATAGTTGATTACCTGATTTGCTCTCTCTTCCAGGTTGCTGTATTGCAAGATAATTTCTTCAAACATGTTTATGGAAAAGCGAATCATTCTCCCGTAAGTAAATCACTTCAGCCGGACGTTTGTGTCTTGTGACGTTTGAGGCCAACTTGTGTCGACCTTGCCCCAAGCTTTTCATGTAACGAAGAAGAGAAAGGTCTGGAATTAGCCACACATGGTTGTTGGGAAATACTGGTACATCGTGACGTTATAGTTCTTTTTTGTTAGAAATTTGTTTGTTTTGGTTGAAGAAATTGTTAACGCTGAGGAAAATTTCCCGCGCAGGGCTTGAACCTGCCTTGTTCCCAGAAACCTGAAACTTCGAAAGTGCTTTATAGCTTGATTCTGCCAGTTGAGGTAAATGGAAATGTTTTTTGTTGTTGTAGAAACCAGTGTTTAGTGAAAATATAAGAATTAAACATGATGACATTGATAAAGCTTTATCCAACATGGCTCCTTCAGTGACACCTGAGGAAAGACTGAAATATGCATCTATGTAAGTATACAAAGTAGCATATATATTCATACCTTGCAAGAAACAATCTTCTGTATATCCAATAGCGATAGCTGAGGTGAAACATGCAACGACGATCATAATATTCAGTAAAGTTGAGACAAAGGATTTGTGCATGGTGAGGTGTATGCAGTTCAACATCAAACGAAGGTCTTCATTTTTTTGGCTTTAAAGTTTTCCGGGCTTCCAGACCATCATATCTTGCCAGACTAATGTACTATTTACAGCATAAGCGGCTGTGTTGTACCTTACTCTGACCCTAACGAATCTACACCCCTCTCCTCCGCAGAGGTTTCCGCTAATCGTGAGCAAGAGAGGAAATTATGCAGGCGCGGAACAAGACCAGGACCAGGGAGGGCGGTATTGAAAACCTATAGTTAGTTAGTGAGGTTAAAAAGTAATCCTGCGCAAATCATATAATTACAAGGAAGATGGAAATATACAATATCATTATTACTAAAATCACTAAACTGGCCACATCCCGCTAAGAATTTCAAACGGGGAAAGACGTTTGATAAACGGGGAAAGACGTTTGATAATTCCAAATTCAATTTTCGTTCAATCATGTGATCAAATTGTTTCATCATTTTGGTCACATGACTTCACGGTTTGACATTGCTAATTATTCCCAGTCAACTTCGAAACAACTCAGTATATTACAAGATGGAGATCATATTTTCGCTAAAAGGGAGATCATATTATAACATAGATACTAGATAGATTGTTCATTACGATTATGGAACTTTAAAATGAACATAAAACGAATATTTCATATATTCTGTTGCATTGACCTTCGTTTGGATGTTTGTGACCTTGTCTATGACACAGAGTAGAGACATACAGAGACGTAACTAGTGTACCCACTTTTTTTGTGCGCATGGTCGGCAAGTTACTAGATGCATGCATCTGATTGGATGACGACCTGATGACGACTCACTTTAAACTTGCTGAGCACGCGCAGTTGATCATTTTTCGCCCGATCGCCTGAAAAAAAGTGGGTACATGATAACGTAATCTTCCGCAGTGTTTACAACGGTCAGTTACGTCTCTGTATGTCTTATCTACTATCGTGTCTATGACCTTGTTTACGTTTGAATAACTTGACTGTTGAGTAACGAATTTCTGACGTTTAATTCAAAACTACGCACCTGATTGGATAATAAAATTAGAAACCCATATACAAAAATAAATTGATAACAAAATCGTGAAGTCATGTGACCAAAATGATGAAACAATTTGATCACATGATTGAACGAAAATTGAATTTGGAATTATCAAACGTCTTTCCCCGTTTGAAATTCTTAGCGGGATGTGGCCAGTTTAGTGATTTTAGTAATAATGAGCCTTAAAATAAAATTTTAAAACTATTTTTCAAATAATAAAACAAGCTAGGTGTTATTTAATTTATTGTTTGATAAGTGTATGCATAATTCCCTTTAATGTGTAAAAGTGAAAAAAAGTCAAGGCTTTTATGTGTTTTTTTCTTCAGCTATCAATCTTTCAAGAACTCGAAGAAGCCAGCAGCAGAGAGAAAACCCCAGATGATAAAACAACGTGCAACACTGGCATAGATAGTCAACTTTTTGTGTTCAAAATTATAAATATTTTAATAAATGTACTTAATGTACAACATGCATGTAGACTATATAAAATCCTCTTTTAAGTAGATTTTCAAAAAGCTATAGCTTTGTCCGACGTCTATTGTATATACACATCATGTCACAAGTATGTTTTGATGTAAGGAAGCCTCCTTCACAGACAACTCGGTGAAAAACAACTGTGGAATATTTAGCAGATTGAGGGATGGTAACTGGGTATGGTAGTCTGATCCCCTGTTACCCTCATCATTTTTTTCTAAGTATTGCGTATACGTAATTGTAACTTTATCCACCGTGTTGCTAGCGGGGCCAGATATATGGTATTGTCCGACATCTACATGCATTTTTATAATGTCAACAGTTGCAAAGTTGTAGAAACAAAGATGTAGTCTTAATCAAGCTGTGTTTACGCTGGCCAATGTCATGTCTAGGTTTGTCGTGTAAACCAGTGGCGGACACTTCACGAATCCTACACAGAACAGAACGTGACAGATTGTATAAAATGTGTATGTTGTGGAATCATTGGCATGCATTGTACAGAATCATATATTGCTTGCTATATTGTTAACGTTAGCTTAAATTTTATTTAATAGTCTCTATTTAATGACAATTACGTTATATGGGTGGGTTTTTTTTTTTGGGGGGGGGGCTAGTGTCTCCCCACTGGTGTAAACACAGATATAGCAACGATTTACATATTTTAGATAATGCTATATATACAATAAAATTATACAGTGAAAAATGTATTACTTTGCTTAATACAACAAAAGGGTAACAAACACTGCGTTCTGTCTTCGTTCAGGAAAACAATTATTAACGACTTAACGTGGGTGGTGGTGGTTGGGGGTGCTAAGTGGGGCTAGCCACTATTGTTGTTCATCGAGCGAGGTGGTTTGTCGACCGAAACAGGAAGGCAATGTACTTGAATGCAATCCCTGAAAGGGTTCAGAGGGCGTAAATTCTGAATTTTTATTAACAAGGACGATATATTGCAAAATGTAAAGAAACGAATCAAAACATGGACATCTTCAACTGCCTGAGGGCCACTGACAATCTGACATTGTATAGTAACTTTAGATCTGCTATTGGCAATTTTCTGGTCATGCACTGCCTTGCCAAATTATGAAACTTTGAATTAACAAGGAAATCATGGTACCCTCCTTGGTCAAGGCGGTCGAGAACACACCATTATTTGCTACCATATAACGGGGATTTCCATATTTAGCTGTAACCTACTGGCCAATCAGAAGAGCCGTAGATAATCAACATTACATACAGGAATCAATATCATGAAATTAAATATTAAATTCTATTTAGGTTGTTTTAAAGATTTCTTTTTCTTAATTTTTGGCGTTTCTCTTGGTGATAATGTTTTAATCTGAGTATTAACATACGTAGAATCGAACGTCCTTTTCTTTCCTTGCCTAACAGAAGTATGTTCATTCTGTTTATTCAGTACAGGACCAAATTTTGGAACATCTTTGTCACTGCCACCTTCAGTTTTGTTCTCCAGATCTTTTGAAATTTCATTCTTGGTAAGAGTTTTCTGAGAACTATTGTGCCCATTATTATTCCATATTGCTAGATATTGTTCTGGTAATGGAGGGATCTTGCACACGATATATTGGACGAGATCTTTCAAAATGTTCGCAGTTATATCTTTCTGAAAATGGAAAACAGGTAAAGTTGGTGCGAATCATCTTTGAACTGTGAAGGACACAGCTCGAAAGGTTTGTACTATTAAGGAGTTAGGCTCTGACTGCTACCATATCTATCTCGTACCCAGAACCATTAGTTGAGTGGTGGCTCTGGGTACGAGATTCGGAGATTGCTACCATGCATATGACCTATATCGCGGACCATGGAACCATTGATACCAGAAATTATTCAGGTCGGCAGAAAGAAAATAGGAATGTTTCAAAATCAAAAGTAATTCAATAGTTAGAAGGTATAGCCTTTGTTTCAGTGGCTCAACGGTCCATTTTAGTTGTGCTCCGTGATCAGACACGAGTCTCAGGCTATTTTTACATTGCATCGGCTGCCTCGTCCCCGGTGTTAATAAAAAATTTCATGCGAGTCACTATATGAAAGGTTTACATGAAGTAGTCTCATATCCCATCCCTCTTTGCGCGCCTGTAATGTGACGCACTACTTCATGTAAACCTTTCATATAGTGACTCGCATGAAATTTTTTTATTAGCGTCGGGGACGAGGCAGTTGTATCGGATCGGTTTTTGCTTCGTTCGCGAAACGTTATACGCTCCAAGTGTAAACAGCTTCCGCCCTTCTATACCGTCGTATTCGCTTGTATATATTTACCAAATACAAAAATATTGCAGACATCATTTAAAAGAATGAGCAAGCTATACCTGCAGATAAGATTAGAATAGCCAGTTGCTAGACGCCATTTTGAGTCACGCATTGAACCGAAAATTATTCCGATTGGTGTTTACATTACAATGAGAGTGTTGCAAAAACCAATCCGACACACCACGCACCACTTCGAAGAGCGAACCGCCGCACCACCAGTTCGTTGCAGAAATTGAGACGATAACAACATTTCATATGTAAACAGAAGCCCTATCCTTTGCGTCGGACGCAAAGTGATCAGATAGAATGTAAACATGGCCTTAAATGAGTGATGGAAAAAATTATTTTATATTCTGTAACCACATTGTCTGCGAACCCAGATTCGCTTTTCGAGCGAAGAATGAGCGTGGGCATTATTCGCTTTTCGAGCGAAGAATGAGCGTGGGGAATGACGTCTGGGTTCGCAGATTAGGGACCACAACCCAAGGAAAATATTTTCTGTTAGTTAATAGTGCTGAAGTCGTATATATGTTAACTGCTTTTATGTTAACTGGAGCAGTTAATATTCAAATTGGGTTCAATGAAATTAATGAATACAGGGCTAGTTGGGTTAGGTTGATGAGGTAGAAGTGGAGTTCAGAACCAATCAAATTGTAGATATACCTATACAATTTACGGAAATCATCATCATACTCTGGTTGCTCCTACATATAGGAGCACTGGACAAATAGGAATGGCTCATTAACACCAGACCTTCACGAAGAGCAATTTAGAACTGATGTCAATCGAGTATCAACAAAGTTAGTTTACGATGCTTGTGATGTTACTCTGAGTGTATATCCACACCGGGCAAGTTTGAAAAACATGCCTGGCCACGGTGGGAATTTTCAAGCTTGCCCGGTCTGGATATACACTCAGAGTAACATCACAAGCATCATATTCACCTGAGTACATTACACCAACACAGAGAGTTTAAGTTTTCTCCTGCTGCAACTCTGGATAATAAGTAACAGCACTTACTATATCTTTAGGAAAAACAGTTCAGCACTGATAGAGCTATCCAGAATAATAAAATATAGTTACTTTACAGTAGTTTAGGTTTTCCTTTATAACAATATAACAACCGAGGAATCAAGAATGACCCTTAACTAGGTCACTAGGGATAATAATTTAAACCAGGCAGAAATATCTAGTATTAGATGTGTTAGTACCTTAAAGCCACAAGCCACAACAGTTTTGATTCCAAGAAGAGGGGCCATAACGTCACTCAGACCAAACACTGCACAACATGGAGTTGATCTAGTAGCACTTAGTAACATCAAATGATTGGTTAGGACGGCTGGTTTTGTTGATCTACACACCTACACAAAAATACATTTACAAATAAAATGTAGTTCAAGCAAGAATCTTTGCCTTTTTTACTATGAAGTTTCAAGTCATTTCAAAACACTAAAATGGCCATTTTCTGATTTTTTTTCTTTTTGCATGATCCAGTCAAGATAAGGGTGGGGATGTAATCCTCCTCCTCAGTTTGTTAGGCGTGCAGTGACGTGCGGTGGTGGACACTTCGCAAAATGTTGTGGTGGGGTGCGTTGACCACTTTTGTTGCCTTGAATTCCATGCAATATTTAGCTAAATTTATAGCTTACAGCTTAAAGTGTTGCAGCTTTGTTACATAGTTATAAAAAAATAAAAAGTTACTATGAAATATACTATAATTTTTGCTTTTGGGGACGCGCCATTCTCGTACCCAGAGCCCTTTTTACGCGCGTTCGACCGAGCGCGACGAGGTAAAAAACATGGTAAGAAATGGATTATAAGAAAGCGTTATTAAACATGGATTATAAGAAAGCGTTTGATCTAATTGACCATCAACTGTTATTACGAAAACTCGAAGTACTCGGTATTGGTGATGATTACCTTCCTCTATTTACTAGTTTTCTGAGCGATCGAAAACAGTACGTAAACGTTAATGGATGCCATTCTAAGACTGAAAATGTAAATTTCGGTGTTCCGCAAGGAAGTATATTGGGATCTGTGCTGTTTCTGATATTTATTAATGACTTGCCGACTGCTCTGAAGAATTCTACAGCTGATATATATGCGGATGATACTACAATTAGTTACTCTGATCATTATAATATTTCACCTCAAGCTATTAGTAATGGCATCCAGACGGATATAAATGAACTACAAAATTGGTCGAAAAAAAATCGAATGACACTAAACGAAAGAAAGACGAAATCGATGCTCATTACAGGAAAACGGCTAGATAAAAAGCTGGCAAGTTTGGATTTGCAAATTGAATTAAACAACACTACTATTGAACAAGTCGATGTTTTCAGTTTGCTGGGACTAAAGATAGATATGAGATTGACATTTGACGAACACGTCGACTCTCTTTGCAACAAGCTGTCGCAGCGAATTGGCGTCCTACGAATTAAAGATCAAGGTTTTTCTTCTCCTCGAGCAGAGAATTCTCTACTACAACGCTATGATTAAACAACCGATGATGTATGGCTCAACTGTGTGGTCTGCGTGCTCTCGTGTGAATTTAGAAAGGGTTTTGCGACTGCAAAAGCGAGCTGCTAGGGTCATATTAGATGCTGACATGCGAGCGAACAGTGCCGAACTCTTCAAAAAATTAAATTGGTTGCCTTTCTTCTGTGAAGTCAAAATTCAGATGTGTGTTTTGGTTCACAAACGTCTTTATGGCGAATGCCCAGCTTATATTAAAGAAACGTTGAGGGTAAACTCAGATATCCATAACCGATCAAGTCGTTATGGCTCAATAAACATAGTTTGCCCACGTTTCAATAGTGAAACTGAAGGTGGACGGACATTCTCAGTCAGAATGTCAATATTATGGAACAGTCTGCAAAATGAACTGAAGTCCATTAATAGTATAAACATTTTTAGATCATCTTTGAGAACTTTTTATATTGACATTCTAAAGGATATGAACCATCTTAAAGAATTTTAAACTTTTTACTAGACCATTAGTTATTAAATTCCTACTATATATGTATATATTTGCATGCTATACGCAGCCATTTATTCTATTAACATATTTTTGTACTTATAGTTAGGAGGGCCGCTGGTTTATCAGTTTCACTGTCATGCGTTTACCCTCATTAATAAAGTTAAAGTTGATTGTTAGAACTAGCCAATCAGATGCCAGTTCGGATATGGATTTGGCCAGAGCCCCTCGTCATACCGCGTGTAAGAAGGGCTCTGGGTATGAGAATGGGGACGCGCGTCCCAAAAACAATCTTTTAATCAGTAATTTCACAATTTCCGAAAGCTTATTATTCGAAGGGTATTCATGTAAACGTTTTCAAACTTTGTACATTTACTACCTACGAGGTGATCTTTTTAGTGATTTGGTTCATTTCTTAATTTGGGCACTTTTAACACTTGTCGCCAGTCCACTCATCAACTTCGGAATGGCTAATTCAGCTATCATTTACCCCCCTGGTAAAATCCTGGTTCCCCCTAATGTCCGCCACCATTGGACCCTTAGGTAGTCAATTGTGCTTCATAATTTCCATTGAAGTATTATGTATATATGGTGTAGGATTCTTTTACATTTTCCATTGCAACTTAAACATGGAATAAATCGCAAATGCTTTATCAATGCATGTTCTCCAAGAAAGATATGTAAAGAAATGTGCAAAAGACATTTATAGATCAGAATTGTACACGTTAGTAGTTTCATTTTGCTCAAAACACAATATTTTTTCAAAAATAATTACAAGATAGGTTTACTAAAGCAAAATCCGCGCTAAAAACGTCAATAAATATCGGGCTGTTGTGAGTTTGCTGTTACTCGTAATGAGCGTCAAGATGGCGCCATATTGGGGGTAGAGGTGGTATATTGTGATTGTCATATCTTCTTAACGAGTTCGGTGACCCCAACTTTTTTGTGTGATTTTACTTTAAGTATATCATAAACTCCATGCCTGGGAAGTTTCAGCACATTCTCATTTCGGGAACAATTACTGCGGAATTACCTTAATAGGGAAAGAGAAAATATTTTGAAAGGAAAAGGACAAAAACATTCATATACTGCACCAGGGCCATCAAGACGTTGTGCGGTCCCCAGGCGGAAACTTTCCTTGGAGAAAACTTTCCTAGGGGAACTCCCTATGACGTCATCATTGTGACACAGGAGAAGCAGTGTTTTACAATAGTTCACACTTTATTGCATATTATCCTGCACTAACGCAGCTACGGTAGGACTCATTTTCTCAGTTAAGCAATCTTGTATCAAGAAATTTTAAGGACCTTCGTTGCTTTGGGGGCCCCTTTCTGCACAGAACTGAAGATAGAGGATATGAAGTGTCAGTCACTGGCAAACATTACGCATAACACATTTTTACAAATAATAATAAACAAAATTGATGTTTTTGACTTAGAACTACAGCACCTACCAGTACTAACATAAGATTGTTTTTCTCTAAAGACTTTGTTACGGAATTAACACCAATAGCTAAAGCCTTCTTTGTCATATTCCAAGATACGAACGGACTTTCATGACTTGAAAACTCTTCTGTCTTCTCTCTCTTAATTCCAGTTGTGGGAAATACACTGTGATTGTCACAAGAATATTTCATTATTAATTTTAATAGGACAGTACACACATTCATTAAGGGAATATTAAGTATTAACAAATAGATTCTGACAGACAATCACCGACTTGTATCACTGTAGGGTTCTTCCCCTAATTTTAACATAAATTAGAATATATTACAGGCATTTTAATGACTGCATGTTCACGGTGTGAATTTAATTTTAAGGACCAATTGCCCAGACCTCCATACAACAATTGATACTGCTCAGTAGAGCTAGATAAAAGTGTGTGGGTCATTAATTAAATAGAAATTGAAGCGATCTACTGAATGTGTACATCACTATGACTAAATTCACCCATGGATATGTCTGGAAAACAGAATGTGAGCATATCTGCATGCAACTTAGATTCATTAACCATTGAGTGGTAGCACTCTCCCTTTAATGAGTGAATTGTCTGGAGTTAGAGTAAAGTAATAAAGTAGGGTTCATCAGGGTGCATTGCTACATAAAGAATTAATGCATGGTCAGATACTGTATAGCCTGATATTTACATTGAGTCCCCTTGAGGAGTAAAATAATCTGGTGTTAGACTGAGTAAAATAATAAAGTAGGGTGCACCAGGGTACGTGTAACTTAATGGGGTTAACAGGGTGCATTTGGCAGATAATCTGATTAACCCTTTAAGTGACACCTTATATCTTTTCATAAAAAAACTTGAAAATATTATTATTTAACACCATTAGCACACACCATTGGATAAGTTTGGTGCACAAGAAAACATGTGTGTTTCAGTGTCAGTGTAGGACAATTATAGTCAAATTGCCACAAGATAACGTCGACAAGTTGATGTACGTAAAAACCCAACCTGTGTGGCACTAACATGAATATATGGACGTAGCCCCTTATAGTGATGTGCGAATTTCCTCACTTGTTACTTGAGTGCGCATTCTGTCCCTTCCGTGAAATATAAGTGCACATTTTTTGACAACAAAATCATACTCGGTACCTAATTAGCAAAGTTAGCAGTCTAGGTCCCAGTGCACAAAAGTTACATTCCATACTTCATGGTCTTAAAATACTCATAATTTTTAGTACCTTCTTATCCCATCAAGTATGTTCTTGTTATCACCTTTGTCAAGGTTAGACCTAATAATATCATAAAGTTATATCATGTGAAAGAAAATAGATGAAAATTGCAAAACAGACAAACAGACGTATTTAATATAAAACTGGACTACTAGAATGAAATCATTTATAGTTGATCATCATTCAATCATCATTCAATCACGTCCTTCAGGGTATCATGTGCAGAGTTCAATATAATTCTGAAAACTTGGTCTGACATTGTGTCAGATCAACCCATGTGTTGGTAATATAAAAACCAAAACCGTAACAACTACCAAAAGTCCAAAACCATATGCATAATGGTTAACAAAATTGGCAAATTGCCCAATATCAACGACAACTTACTCAGTAACAGTATATACATGTATAATATAGAATATTTCTCTTAACGAGATAATATGCATTTATAATATTGTGTGGATTGTGACGAAGTCAGATTCTGTGACTGTCTAGCAGACGCCAGACGGAAATTATCTTTGTTCATGTGTTAAAGATTACAGCCTACTCCTTGTTAATATGATTACTATGAACAGCCAATAACACAACGTGAAAAATTCAGAAATCCTACCAAGTCAATGAATACGGCGTTGTTAAGAAATTCTTTATTCCAGGTTTTTTCTTCGTTTTTGACTTCTTTTCGTCCGCCATTTTGATACACAGGAAGCCCAAAGGACAAGAGTCAAAACAGAAACGTCACGAGATTGCTCACTATGCCGGGCAAATTTATCACAAAAGGCTTTAAATTCAAATTATTTAATTGCAATCTCCATAAAAATTCGGATCGGCCCGTAGTCAACAATATTTATAAATAAAAATAAACGTTCTCTGACGTTTATTTTTAATTATGTCTAAACCTGGCTACGCTATCTCCATATTTTCTAATAATATTTATACCTGAAAAATATAAGGAAAATTTTGACGTTTCGAGCGAAGGTCCTTCGTTTGAGTAACTCCAGCTCGAAACGTTGAAATTCTCCTTATATTTTTCAGGTAGTTGCATCCCTACCAACGAAATCTTGTTCATTTTATTGGCACTACCTAGACTGGCACAAAGTCACAGGCAGTCCAATATATTAACAAGCTTTCGTTATTGGTAGGAATGCAATTATGCAACTACCTGTAAATGTAAAGAGAATTTCGACGTTTCGAGCGAAAGCCTTTTGTTTGGAGTTATTTAATATAAGTTATATTAACTCTAAACGTATATAAGAAGAATTTCGTCGAAATTATCCTTATATTTTTCAGGTAGTCACACCCGTACGCTTATGCCAGTTTCACCCCAGAAGCGTCGCACTTACAGGTCATCCACTGAGAACATTTTTTCGACCTCTCCCTCTCCTCCTCCCAGGGCGTACTGACCCCTTATGAAGGGATATGGCATATGTCTGATAAATTACACTCATCCAAGTATTACTCGTCATGATCAGACGGATAAATCATCTGCAGCGTGAGCGTGCATGTCTTCGTTTCATACAACGTTGTGATATCATTAGAGAGTTTGAGCAAGAGAACGAAGTCGGACGACGACGACGTGGTTGACGACTTTTGCCTGGCTTGCACATTATCTTGCGCATTCTGAGTTTAGGGTCAGGGGTCAAGACAGATTAGAGATTCATGCCTAGCTGTTTATGAATGCTGATCCAAATCCTTACCCTGATCAGGACAAAACAACGAGACATGAATCCATATCCCGTCTTCGTTCTTCTGCCTTCGTTCACAACGAATATTTTGGCAAAATTCGCTGTGAACTTCGTACTACACGAAGGCAGAAGGACAAAGACGGGATATAGTTTCATGTCTCGCTGTTTTTTTCTGCGTCAGGGCATGCAAGAATTAGGGTCAGTATTCATAAACAGCAACACACGGGAAGACACGCTGAACAACCACCAGTGACGTCCAACTCAGTATGCGCAAGATAATGTGCAGACGGCAAAAATTGTCAAGTACGTCTTCGTCTTCGTACTTTGTTGTCTTGCTCAAACCATCGTTAATAGAGGCTCAAACTCTCTATTGTCGTGCAGGGACCGCGGAACAAAGGGGCCAGAGTGGCCATGCCCTCTCCCCCACTTTTTCGGTGGATAATAAAAAATTACCGGATACAATCCAGCTTGCCTGCGTGGAATAGCTCCCGTGAGGCCGTGTTATCCTGCCCCCCCCCCCCGCTTTTAAACAGGCTCCGCGGTGTCGTGTGGTCATTATGTTAATACCATAGATATCTTATATATCCATGGTTAATACCCGTGGTCCCTAATTTCTCAGTGTAATCCATGAGATTTAATTAAACGTCAGCCGAGAGTTTGTACATAATTAAAATATTTTGAACTATAGTACTAGTCTACAACTACAAGCTACGGAATTGCGTACAGATATAATGGTAATTTACAATCGACTGATCAGGACAGAATATATTTGTTTAAAAATCAACAAAGATCATCTTTGTTGATTTTTAAACAAATATATTCTTCATTCCTTGTCGTATCGAGCCAGGGTAAAACAAATCAGGAAGTAGAAGATTATACTACCTTGCTGCAACTACGCCGATCAGTATATTAATATCATTATATAACAAGCTATTTGATTAGGCGCCAGTAAACCACAAACAAATTTATAATCATTATTCACACGAATTACTGGAATTAGCTATAGTGCACACAAACTAGACTAAAAATATACGACGGGAAAGTGAAAGAGTAATTTCCGGTACTTTTATAGATATTATATATTTTCAGTGAAAGAGAGTTGATTTCTAGTTCAACAGATGTTGCAAGTTATAGATACAGGGTTACTGGTTGTATCCTCATATTTCGGGCACAGTGCAGGGACTTGGGGACTCAGGGTTTAAGTAAGGTTGTACACTGTAAAACCAGATTGGTTAAAATAACCAATTTGGATTTCAGAGCACTTATTTGACCAGTATTTTATTGGTACTTAAAACAATAAAAATTGGGGTATTTTATTCAATTTTTCGGTTGTTCTCACCAAATAATCAGTATTGGTCAAAAGAAACTATCTGAGGCCCCGTTTACATGAGACCGGGACGAAGTCAAACCGGAATGAAAATTGAAATTGTCAACATGTTTACATGAGACCGGTACGAAAATCACAAAATTTTCAATATATTCCCCTGCCAGGCAATTTTCTTTTTTAGATTATATGGCTTTTGTTACCATGTCATGTGTTGTCCCAATCTAAAGGTTACAGCCGAGACAGATCTCAGGAAATGTATTTGCATGTGTTTACATTCATCCCGGTCTGAATTCATGCCGGTCTGAAGTCAGTCGGTTCGGTCCAGCAGGCAGAATGATGACTTGAGACCGGTCTGAGTTATTTTCGTCCTGGTCTCATCATAAATCATAAATATCTATCATAAATAATACTATGACCGAAACGAAATGGTCCCGGTTTGACTCCGTTCCGGTCTCATGTGAACGGGGTCTGACACAACCAAATCAAAATAATTTGTAACCTGAGTATCAGGCCGTACTTTTTAGGGCACAGGCACGCCTGATCGTGGGCGAAAGGGAGAAAAGTACGGCCTGACACAAAAGTGGCATTTTGCCTGGTTGTTCAGTCCAGAATCTGGACTGAGCGCTGATTGGCCGATTAGACAAACGATTTTTAAATCTGTCATTGGATTGGCTGGTGCTAATTAGATTATACTATTGTTGTTGATATATTTTATAACGATCACAACTACAATTATAGCCGGCCCACTAAACGGCTGAATTTAAATTAAAACTGCAGTAAAATTAGAAAATAATCGCAAATTAGCGAAATATATTGCAAAATGTAGCTTATATTAAATCGCCATCAGATTACACTATCGACTGACGTATAGTTATAAAGTATACTTTATAATTATACGTCAGTTTGTTGATAAATACGGCAAGCGCCATGTAAAGCTCATTGTAGTCACTGAAACCTCTGCGGAGGAGAGAGCAATCGGGTGGCGATTTAATATAAGCTACATTTGCAATATACTTCGCTAATTTGTGATTATTTTTGTTAATTTTATAAGTTCATTGCAGTTTTAATTTAAATTCAGCTGTTTAGTGGGCTGCCTATGCTA